AGCGACAGCGACGCGTTCTTTGGCCAGTCACGAGCAGATATGAGTTAGTTTTTGCGTGTGCCGGGCATGTACACATATAAGCCAGATGATACAGGGGCGTCCCCCCGCAACGCAAGTATATATATATATATATATATATATATATATATATATTCATATACATGTGTGTGCAAGTATATCACATGTATGTATAAATGTATACATACGTAGGGGCGTCCCCCTCATCTGCTGGCTTGTGTGTTTCTTTTTCCGAAGATACTGTGCAACGTGTTTGAAACACAGGTACAAATCGGACGTCGCCGACGAAGTGGGGCGAGGCTCACGCGTGTACGGAATCAAGCGTCGGCGAGTCGAGCTGTTGCGACGCTAGTATGGGGAAAAGGAGGAGGCATGAGGTGGTTCAGAAAAGGAGGAGGGATTAGCGATGCAGATTATGTCTCTTCTTAGCCGCAACATTGTAGGAGGACTCCGACAAAAGCCTTGCGAGGATGATCTCGCAGCGCGCGGACGTCCCACTGCGCAGGGTGGAGGTTTTGAGGCCAGTGAAAACCACGCGCGTTTTTTGTTGTCCTCCGGACCAACGGGGGGGCCTCTTGGAGGGTGTCATTTTCGGAGGCGCGTGGGAGGCTTTAGACAGATCGAGACCAGATCAAGAAAAGTTCAAACCCACTGGTCGTGTCAGGATAATCGCTCCTTGCGGTCTGGTGGTGAGTGTGCATTCTCTATGCGGTCGCGGTAGCGGCTTGAGGATGGTCACGTTCGTTCGGCGCAAGATCCTTTGGTAGCCAGGCCTTCCTCCGACAAGACGGATGCTCGGGTGTCGCCGTGACATCAAATTTCGATGGCAGCGGCTTTTCCGCAGTCTACTCCAAGGTTGCGCCAGGATAATCGCGCCTCGCGGCCTGCGTTGCAGAGTGATTTCCTTCCATGCGGGAGCGGGATCAGGGGCGCCCTGACCTTGCTCTCCGACTAACTGCCACTCGGACCCCATCCGAGCGCCGCGGGGGGGGGGGCTTCAGTGTCCAGTCCGATCGCCGGCAGGTCGGTCGCCATCAGGGAGCGATCAGATCGCAGCCGAATGGCGGCCGGGGGCGGCGCGGGGCGCAGGGGCACCGCGGGGGCGCGCGCGGGGGGGCCGGCGCGCGGCCCAGGCGGTGCTTCCGGCGCCTCCTCGATGCGGGGGGATCCCCCAGACGGCCTTGAGCCAGAGGTCACGGAAAACTCATCAAATATAATAACACAACCAAGACTAAAACCGACAGGTGTCGTGATCGCAAGCGCGCCATGTCTTTGATGAGTTGGGTCGCCAAGCCGCGGAGGAGGAGGAGGAAGTGGAGGAGGAGGAGGAGGAGGAGGAGGAGGAGGAGAGGGAGGAGGAGGAGGAGGAGGAGGAGGAAGACGACGAGGGGGCGGATCCAGGATGATGAGCAGGACGAGGAGGAGGAGGTGGAGAAGGGAAAACGGGCGGTTGGAGGAGAGGAGGAGAGAAGAGGACGGGGTGGAGTGCTCGGAAAACGGGGATGATGATGATGATGGTGATGATGATGATGATGATGATGATGATGAGGATGAGGATGAGGATGAGGATGATGATGATGATGATGATGATGATGATGATGATGATGATGATGAATATGATGGCGATGGCGGTGACGATGGCGATGACGATGACGATTATGATGATGACGAGAAGGATGAATATAGTGATGCGGATGATGATAACCATGAATGCGATGTTGATGATGATGTGGGTGAGGATGGTGATGATGGTGATGGTGATGACGGCGATGACGGTGTTGTTGATGATGAGGATGATGATAATGATGCCGTTGGCGATGATGGCGCTGACGATGATGATGGTGCGGAAGGGGATCATGATGATGATGGCGATGAGGGTGGCGGTGATGATGGTGATTAAGAGGAGGAGAGAGACGGGGAAGAGGAGGACGAGCAAAAGAGGAGGGGGAAAAGGAGGGATCTGAGGAGGGGGATGAGGATGCGGAGCAAACAAATCGACGAGGGAGGGTGGCAGAAGGAGGACGGAAAAAAATGCGGATGGAGGAGGAATAATAGGAATAGGAATAGGAATAGGAATAGGAATAGTAATAGGAATAGGAATAGGAGGAGGAGCATCTGACTGAACGACACGTCGGGCCCGCCCGCGCTTCCCCCGCCCAGGACAAGATCCGCGAGCAGCTCTTGAAGAAGTACGCCGAGGACGGCGCTGGGCCCATCTCTCTCCGTCCATCGCCCCCCCTCTCCCTCCCTCCTCCATTTCCCTCCTCCCCTCTCCGTTCCCTCCTTCCCTCCTCCTTCCCTCCTTCTTCCTCACTCAATCCCCTCTCCTTCCCGGCCGCGCCCTCCCTCCTTCCCTTTCCCTCATTTTCCCTCCCTCGTCCATCTCTCCCCCTCCTGTCTCGCTCCCCCCGTCGCTCGCTCCCACCTTCGCCTCCCCCCCCCCCCCCACCCTCCCGCTCTTCCCTCGGAGGCGACGACAGGGACACGCATTCGCCGAGGAACTTCGTCGAACACACGGGCGATCAGAGCGCTTCGATGCATTGCAATGCCCCCCAATGAACGATGTGCTCCTGCTGCAGCCCCCCCCCCCTTCCCTCCGCCCCCGCCCGCCGCCCCCCCGCCCCCCCCCCGGTCTGTCTTTCGCAGCCCCCGCGGGTGTCTCCCGAATGGGCGCGTGGCACTGTGTGTGCGGCTCTTGGTGGGGCTCTGGCTGGCTCTTGGTGTGTGTGTGTGGCTTTTGGTGGGGGGGGCAGGGAGTGACTCTTGGTGTGTGTGTGTGTCTGTGTGTGTGCGTGCGTGTGTGTGTGTCTGTGTGTGTGCGTGCGTGCGTGTGTGTCTGTGTGTGTGTCTGTCTGTGTGGCCGTTGGTGTTTGTGTGTTTGGGTCTTGGTGTGTGTGTGTGTGGCTCTTGGTGGGGCTTGGCTTGTGAGTGTGGGTATCTGTGTGTGGCTCGTGGTGGGGGGGGGCAGGGAGGCGGGGTGCGATCGGTTCGTGCGCTGTCGGATCGTTGTCGCAGGTCGTCCAGAAGCACACGATTTCGATGCCATGCCAAGACCAGGACGTGTCACTCCGATTGCACATCGCGCCGGTGAGCTGGAGAAGACGGAGAGATACCTCGCGTTTCAAAAAGGGGTCCGCCGTCCTTTCTTTTCCGCTTGAGCACGTTGTGTCCACGTGGGTTGCCTCGCGCGAGAGCCAGATTCTGGGAGAAGACGGAGAGATACCTTGCGTTTGAAACAAAAAGTCCGCCGTCCTTTCTTTTCCACTTGAGCACGCTGTGTCCACGTGGGTTGCCTCGCGCGAGGGCCAGATTCTGAGAGGCGCCCGCCCTCCACCCGCGCAGCTGATTAGGATGGAACGCCTGAGGTGGTCGCAGACGGCAGCCAGGTCTCGAGAAGCACCCGCCCGACATCAGCAATCTCGAGCGAAACGCGCGGATTCCCCACGAGAAGCCATGAGAAGGAGGGCATCGGATATCTCCCCCCTTTTCTCCCTCCCCATACACCATCTGCCAACAACTAATGATCGTTGTCCGCCCCCTCCACCCAGGTTGCGAAGACACCCTGGGGTGGGGTGGGGCAAAGCAGTGTCAGGATATGACACCACTGCCTACAGCGTGAGGGAGAGGGAGGGAGGATGGAGGGAGGAGGGAGGGAGGAGGGAGGGAGGAGAGGGGAGGAGGGAGGAGGGAGTGGGGGGGAGGGAGGAGGGAGGGAGGGACCGAGGAGGAGGGAGAGAGGAGGGAGGGAGGATGGAGGGAGGGAGGATGGAGGGAGGAGGGAGGAAGTGGGAGCATATAGCGAGCGGCCTCAATGACCTGAGGCGACTCCTGCCCCATGGCGGCGCGCACAGTGCCGCCTGCGCCGCCTGGGCCGCGTAGAGAAGGGGAGGATGAGCAGGGTGGAGAGGAGAGGAGGAGGAGGAGGAGGAGGAGGAGGAGGAGAGGAGGAGGAGAGGAGGAGGAGAAGAGGAGGAGAGGAGGAGAGGAGGAGGAGGAGAAGAGGAGGAGAAGAGGAGGAGAAGAGGAGGAGAAGAGGAGGAGAAGAGGAGGAGGAGGAGGAGGAGGAGAAGGAGGAGGGACAGGGAGCAGAAGCAGCAGCAGGAGCGAGGAGGAGGAGGAGGAGGAGGAGGGACCTGAACCCTCAGCCGGCCAAGACCGCGCGGGGCCGCGAGGGCGGAGCGCGTGCCGCCAGGACGACCGCGTCGAGCAGATGAACGAGCAGAAGAAGCGCATGAAGGTCCAGGAGCACAAGCGCGAGGCAGGCCTCTCGCCCCGCTCGTGCGGCTTCTGGACACCATCAGGGGTCCCGCGGGGCGGCCAGGAGCTGGGCTGGGGTTTCGCGCCGTGAGCGCTGGCCCGGGGTCAGCCCGTCCCCCGAGCTGCCCCCACCGCGGGCCGTGCCAGCCCCGCCATCGAAGGAATCGAGGCGTCCGGCGACCCAGGTCTCCAGCGATCTTTCCCTCCTCCCTCCTCCCTCCTCCCTCCTCCCTCCTCCCTCCTCCCTTGTTTTCAGCCAGTGCCTTTTTTTGCCCCAGTTCGCCGAGCGCGTTCCATGACTGGTAAGGTGCCTACTCGCAGACGTCCGAGAAGCCAGACGCCTGCCCGCATGTGACATATCGTGCATACCCTGCGGCGGATCCAGGCTGGCGACTTTGCGAGCAGTGGAGCGCGCTTGTCTACTGGTGATGGACCACGGGGCCCACCGCACCTCGGGGCCATCAAGGGTTACCAATGGATCCTGGGCGGGCCCCTTCCCCGGGGGCAGTGTTGCGCCCAGGATCAGGTCTTGCTGGTCCCCGGGGCCCGCCAGCGGGCCCCGGAGGCGGGCATCGTGGAAAAACATCAGGTCGGGCCCGCCTCTCCACAGGGGGGATATTCAAAAATAGTAAATTATCCCAGAGCGACCCTACCTAGGAGTCGGAGCCCCGAGGAGAGCAATATGCTATGCTATGCTATGCTAGGGTATGCTAGGCTACGCTATGTTATGCTAGGCGATGTTATGCTATACTATGCTGCGCTATGCTATGCTATGCTATGCTATGCTGCACTAGGCTGCGCTATCCTATGCTATGCTGCGCTATCCTAGGCTATGCTAGGCTATGCTATGTTATGCTATGCTGCGCTATGCTATGCTACGCCATGCTATGCTGCGCTATGCTATGCTATGGTATGCTATGATATGCTGCGCTATGCTATGATATGCTGTGCTATGCTGTGCTATGTTATGATATGCTATGTTGTGCTGTGCTGATGCTATGCTATGCTATGCTAATGCTGCGCTAAGTTAAGCTAAGCTGAGCTAAGCTAAGCTAGGCTAAGCTAAGCGAAGCTAAGCTAGGCCGGGCTAAGTTAAGATAAATTTGAGGTAAGATGAAATAAGCTAAGCTAAGATGAAATCAACTAAGCTGAGATGAGATAAGCAACGCTAAGCTAAGGGGACGTAACTGGGGGAACCGCGGGGCGGATGCTGGGGGAACCGCCCGGGGCGGGCCCCACTGCCCGGCCCCTTTAAGATAGAGAGTAAGAACCTTTCTAGGCAGAGCCTAGGTAGTGAAAACATAGTCTGGGGACTATTTTTGCTGCATTTTGGAACATTTGGGGGCATTTTTTGAGTATTTCTTATTTCTCGTCGAAAATGCCCCTGTAGGGGGACACGCCCGGCTTAAGAAAAACACCCATGTTGAAAGCATCATGACATTGTCGGTGTGCCTCAGCTGCGCGCACCTCGAGCTGTAGTTTGGACGGATCTCTCCCAGGGATTCGCGATCATGGTATCGTCGGACGTCTGGGAAGGGGTCCCGACGAGAGCTGGTCCTGGACCCTCGGGGCTCTCCTCCCCCTCGGGGCCAGACCCTCATCCCGGGCCGTCCTCTGGCCGCTCTGGGGGGCCGTGGAGGGCCCCGACGGCCCGAGGGCGACCGAGAGGTCGCCGAGAGGGCCCCCGATAGCAAGCCCGCACGCCCCCGAGCAGGTTGGGGCTCTCGGGCCCCCACCGGCGATGAAGGGGCGACCAGGGGTCGGTGACTCCCCCCCCCCCGGAGAATCTCTCAGGAGGGAAAGAAACACACAGACACAATTGATCGTCGACTCCCAGGAAAATATGCAAAAATATGGGAAGTGGTGGGGAAGACAAAAACCAAGAAAATATGGGAAAGTATGGGGGATATTTTTATTTGTGTGTATTTATTTGTGTGTTCCAGTTCCCCTTCAATCTCGGGGTCGGACCCGTTTCCCTTCGGGCCCGTCCTGCGGCGGCGGCCTCCCCGCGGCGACCCCCGCCGGCGCGAGGCGCGCGCGCGGGGGGCCGCCCAGGCCGAGAGGATCGTGCAGCTGAAGCGGGCCGAGTTCGACGCCGCCCGCCGTGCGGAGCCCCCGGCCCGCCCGAGGGAGGAGTGCAGAGTCTGGGTCGCAATGATCGGGGGAGCGTAAGACCCGGGTTTGCCAGGACTCGGGCTCGCCATCGTTTTTTGACGACCGCGCCTCGGATTTTGACGAGGAGGAGTTTCGTGGGATGTCTGCAGCGGGAGGCCTCGTCAAAATGCAGGCTCGGCCTCGTCATTTTTTGACGACCTCGTCGGGGATTTCCGAGTCCCCCGTACCCGGGTCTTACGTCTCCCCGAAATGAGGGGGGTACGGGCTCGAGGGGGTGGCGACGTTTCGGAGGTGCTCGGCGGTCTTCCAGCTTCGAGACGTGCACGGGATGCCTGCCGGCGGCTGCGCCTCGCCGAGGGCGGGCTGAAGCGCCCCGAACAGCCGCCAGAGGGCCGAGCATGGCCCGAGCACCAGAGGGCAACCACGGGGGGATATACACCCTAGGCGATGCTTAAGAAAACCTAAGTTTTCGGCCATAGTCTCGATTATTCTTAATGTTTCAATGTAAATCTCAAGATTTCAATAGAAATGTCGGTTTTTTATTCAAGTTCTGAGACTATGAATTTCTTAACCCATGATTTCTTAAGCATTTCGCAGGGTGTAGGCTCATGGGGGAGGAGGCATCGACCCCCAAGCGCCCATGGATCCCCGGCAGGGGCACGCTATAGCCAGTCGCCGATCTCTATCGGCGGCGTGTCGCCGATGCAGGGTCTCGCTGCCCTTCGCGGGAGGGTGGGGTCCATAGGCACGAGCATGCTCGGGATGAAGAGCTGGCCCCGAGCGAGGAGCGAGGAGCGAGGAGGAGGAGGAGGAGGAGGAGGAGGAGGAGGAGATGGAGGAGGAGGAGGGAGGAGGAGGGAGGAGGAGGAGGAGGAGGAGGAGGAGGAGGAGGAGGAGGAGGAGGAGGAGGAGGAGGAGGAGGAGGACAGGACGGGGCCGAGACCTCTGGGCATCAACGTTGTGAAGAAAGCGCGGCGTCGGGTGCGTGGTTGCCCCCCCCCGGCGCGGGCAAGGGGGGTGCACCAGAAGCTTGGAACTCTCACTGTTCAGGAGGGGAAAAAACACACAGACACAATTATTCGTCGACTCCCCAGAAAATATGCGAAAATATGGGAATTGGGCGGGAAGACAAAAATCCAGAAAATATGGAAAATATGGGGAATCATTTTATTTGTGTGTATTTATTTGTGTGTCCCAGGGCCCCTTCAACTGTGGTGCGGCGGCGCGGGGGGAAAGAAAGGTCGCACAGCCAAATCTCGCGGCAAGGGCACAGTGCCTCACCGAGGCTAATTGCCCTTGCATCTTTGTGTCCTCGGCCTACCCGCAGTCAGAGATCCCAGGGTTGTTGCAGTAAGAGCACAGTGCCTCACCGAGGCTTGCACCTTATTGTCCTCTGCCTACCCGTAGCCATAAATGCCAGAGCTCTGCGGCAAGAGCGTGATGCTTGCTGACACCCTTGCATCCTTGCGTCCTCGGCTTAATCCTTAGAGCCATAGATCCCAGGGTTGCTGCAGAAAGGGCGCAGTGCCTCATCGAGGCTGATTGCTCCTGCATCCCAGGAGTCCTCGGCGTACCCCTCTGCCTCAGCCCCCACGGATGCGTCGACCTGATGACGCTTCAGGCTGCTTCAGCGTGCGCGCCCTGGAGAGACTCTTCACGCACCCTCGCCGATCGACGATTCAGGCAACTCGATGGATGGAAGGGGCAGGGTTCGGAATTCGTCAAACACGTGGCGAACTCCGAACCCTACCCACGCCTCCCATCGATTCAGGAGAATCGATGGTTGGTGGGGGCAGGGTTCCTATGTCGGAAAGAGCGTGTTCTACCGCTGCTGGCGGAAAACTGGGGGGGGTCACTACTGGTTCGAACCCCTCCCCCCCACCCCCTCCGGAAAACCGGGGGGGGGTTCGAACTACCGGATTCACTACCGGTTCGAACCCCCCCCCCCTCGAAAACCGGGGGGGGTCACTACCGGTTCGAACCCCCCCCCCCTCGAAAACCGAGTGGGGGTGCGGACAGTGGTGGGGACGGTGTTGGTGGGGACAGTGGTGAGGGGACAGCGGGACGGTGGTGGGGACAGTGGGACAGTGGTGGGGACGGTAGTGGTGGGGACAGTGGTGAGGACAATGGTGGGAACAGGGGGGACAGTGGACAGTGGTGGGGACGGTGGTGGTGGGACAGTGGTGTGGGGACAGTGGGAATGAAGTGGAAACAGTGGGACAGTGGAGGGTACAATGGTGGTGGGGACAGTGGTGAAGGCGGTGGCGAGGACGGCGGTGGGACAATGGGACAGAGGTACAGTGGGGACAGTGGTGGGGACAGTGGGGACAGTGGTGGGAACAGTGGGACAGCTCAGTGGGAGCGGAGCGGAGGAGTCAGTGGGACAGTGGGGACAGTGGGGATAGTCGGGCAGTGGTTGGGGCCGTGGAGAAAGTGGGGAGAGTGGAACCGTGGTGGGAACAGTGGTGGGGACAGTGGGGACAGTGCGACAGTGGTGGGAGGGCACTGGTGGGGACAGTAGGGACGGTGGTGGAACCAGTGGGGACAGTGGTGGTGAGGACAGTGGTGCTGGGAACAACAGTGGGGGATGTGATGCGGACGGTGGTAGGGACCGGGAATCGTTTGCTGGCGGTGCGTGGGGGGGTGGGCAGGGTTCGAACCGGTAGTGACCCCCCCTCCGGTTTTCGAGGGGGGGGGGGGGGGGGGGTGGGGGGTCTAACCGATAGTGACTCCCCCCCTTTTTCCAGATTTGGGGGGGGGATGGGGGGGGGGTCGAACCCCCCCCCCCGGTTTTCGAGGGGGAGGGGGGGGGTTCCAGCAGGGGGGGGGATTTTCGGAGGGGGGGGGGGGGCGACCCCCGGGTTCCGGAGGAAAAGGTTTTTGCAATTTTCCACAGTAAAGCGGCGGTGGATCACGCTCTCTCCTATGTCGCCACATATCCCTCGCTTGCGGCCCCTGGGGCCCGTCCGTGGGCCCCGGGACACGACGGCCTTGGTCCTGCGGCCCTGCGTCCTCCCCTCGCATCCGTTCGATGCGCAGCCCCAGAGGCCCCAGCCCCTTCCCCGGGGGCAGCTTCTCGCCCTTCACCCTCCCCCATCCACCTTCCTCTCCTCCTCCTCCTCCTCCTATCCTCCTCCTCATCTCCTCACTCCTACCTCCTCCTCCTCCTCCTCTTTCTCCTCCTCCTCCTCCTCCTCCTCCTCCTCCTCCTCCTCCTCCTCCTCCTCCTCTCCTCCTCCCCCATGGCCGCCTGGACGGAGCTGATCATCTCGCTGGACAGTTTGCCAGCCTGGAACACATCCCTACCCCTATGCTGGGCATCTCCTCATCGCGATGCCGATCTTAGGGGTTCCCATTTCTTTGGGGGCGAATCCCTAAGATTGTCATCGCCTTTTGGCGTGTCAATCTTAGGGGTAGGGATACGTTCGAGGCTGGGTAAGTTTCGTGATCCACGGATCGCTCATGGGCGCCTGGCGCCGCCGCGCCCCGCGGCTCGCAGCGAAAGAAGAGCATGCGAGCGAGAGCCAGCAGACCGCGCGCGCGCGCCCGCGAATCGAGCGAGGAAGCGGAGAACGAGGAGCGGATGCGCGAGGAGGAGAAGATGCGGCAGGCGCTCCGCGCCCCCTGCGCACTCGCGCGCCCGTCGCCCCTCGTCCTCCTCCCCCAAAGCATTTCTCCTCAAGGGCTCCCACGAGGGCGCGAAGTTATTCGCGCTTCGCGCTTCGCGGTCCTCGTTCCTTCTCCCCCCTCCTCCTCGTCCTCCTTTTCTCCCTTTGGGGGGGCGGCGCGAGGGCGCGAAGTTATTCGCGCTTCGCGGAGCGCGAAGCGCGAAGTTGGGAGCCCTAGCTCCTCCTCCCTCTGGGGCTGCTGAGGTTACGTTTGATTGTTGCGCCTCCGAGCCTGCAGACCGACATCGGGGACGCCGCGTTTCGGGCCCGCGCTGTCGATCACGCTCCCGTGGGTCACCTGGACGCCCTGACTTTGGCTTGAGCTGATGCCTGGTCGTCTCCTCCTTCGTTCTCCTCCCTCTCCCTCCCCGTCGCGCTCCTCCTCCCCTTCGCGCGGACCTCCAACGTACCCATCGCCCGATGAGTTTTAGATTGGCAGATTCCGATCTGCTTCAGGCGCCTTCCTGCATCGATCATCGCGGTGGTCCCTTTCCTCATGTTGGGGCGGGATTGAAGAAGCACACGTGGGAGCAGTCGGGTGGGCAGTGCTACATCGCTACAACTTCTGTGAAACTGGAGCTGATTCGCAAACCAACAGAGGCAGGCTCTACATCTATGAATGCACTCATGCAGCTTCCAGAGTGCGGGCGCGGGTTGGGGCGGGCGGTAACCCAATCTACTTTCAACGCCTTGCCACCCACAGAGTCCGACCGAGTGATCTGGAGGAAGCTCTAGCACGGAGGTGTTCGCCACGCTCGGCCTCCTGGGGGCCCCCGCCCGGCCCGGGGACCGACGCGGAACGGCTCGGGATGAAAGTCAAGGGCTCCCTCGAGGGCGCGAAGTTATTCGCGCTTCGCGCTTCGCGGTCCTCGTCCCTTCTCCCCCTCCTCCTCGTCCTCCTTTTCTCCCTTCTGGGGGGCGGCGCGAGAGCGCGAAGTTATTCGCGCTTCGCGCTTCGCGGAGTGCGAAGCGCGAAGTTGGGAGCCCTTGTCGAGAACAGCGCTGCGTAAGGGGGGATCATAAATGGGGGGGCGGCGAGTGTGGTCCGAAAAGGTACCCAACTGGTACCTAAACGAGCCCCCTGGGGCCCTGGAGGGGCACGAAAGGGGACCTTTTCTGACCCCCTCATTTGTGACCCCCCCATGAAGCCACGCCCAAAGCGGCAACAGTGGTGACAACCGGAGATCCGCGCGAATTGCCGTGCGTGCGATCCTTCGAGCTGGCGGTGGACCCCCTGGCGGTGCCCTCTGGCGCCGCTCCTGAGGCGCTCCACGTGCCAGGGGGGGGGGGCGGGGGGGGCGGTCCTGCGCCGAACCGAGTAGTCCGAGCGGGGGGGGGCGGGGCCTGCGGTCCTGCTCGGAGCTCCGAGAGTTCACGCCTGTGCCGCTTCCCCCTCTCTGCCACAATTGTTCGATCGAGTGTCGGGGGCGGAAAAGAGGGGGGTGATGACTAGGGGGGGGTGGATATCATGGCGGGGGTCATGATATTTCCCCAGATTTCATGGCGCCTCTTCTGATTTCATTACGTCCCGGGCCCCCCCGCTGGGCCGCGCTCTTGGACACCCCCCTCTTGGCCGCTCCCGAGAGTACCACTCTCCTCTCGCTCCCGAAGATGACCAGGGAGTCGCCCGCCACCCTCCGCGTATGGCCTCTTGCGCAGGATTTCACGAGTTGGTCTTTCCCATTTTTTTGTCATTCGGAACTTTCCCGGTATCTCGACATGTTGTTCCGCTGCAGCGTTGGCCTCATGTTGGGATCGGCACGTTGCCCCCGTCGTTCGGAATGGCCCAGCGCGGGCCACTTTTCCGGATCCGAGTGCGTCTTCCCGCTTCCCAGCCTTTCCTGGTCATCCTGCTCCTTCCGCTTCTCCCATTTCAGTATGCTGCTGTTGCTGCTCCTCCTCGTCCTCATCCTTCATCCTCCCTGTCCTCCTGCTCATCCTCCTGCTCATCCGCCACCTTCTCTTCAAATGTGCGCAGCTCCCCTTTTGTGACCCCTCGCCCTCCCCTCCCTTCCTCCTCCCTCCCTCCTCCCTCCCTCCTCCCTCCTCCCTCCTCCCTCCTCCCTCCTCCTCCTCCTCCTCCTCTCCTCTCCTCCTCCTCCTCTCCTCCTCCTCTCCTCCTCCTCCTCCTCCTCCTCCTCTCCCTGCCCCCTCCCCTCCTCCCCCTCCCCCTCCCCCTCCCCTTCTCCCCTCATACCTCCCTCCCTCCCTCCCTCCCTCCCTCCCCTCTCTCCCTCCCTCTCTCTGTCTCTCTCCCTCTCTCTTTCCTTGCTTCTCTCCTCTCCCTCCCGTCCCTCCCCTCTCTCTCTCCTCCTCCCCTCCCTCCTCCCTCCCGCCTCTCCTCTCCATCCTCCCCCTCTCCCCCTACTCTCTGTCCCCCTTCCTCATCGTTGTTTCTCCTACTCATCGGATTCCTACCCAGATGCCCGCCCGCGAGAAAGGCAAAGGGAAAGCGATCGCGGATGATGGTGGAGGAGGAGCAGGAGGAGGAGGAGGAGGAGGAAAGGGTGAGAGCAGGAAAAGGAGGAGGAAGGGAGGAGGAAGGAGAAAGGAGAAAGGAGGAATGGGATGAGGGAGGAGATAGAGAAGGGAGGGGTGAGGAGGAGGAGAAGGAGGAGGAGGAGGAGGAGGAAGGAGGAGGGAAGGAGAAAGGAGGAAAGAGGGGGAGGACGATGAGAGGAGAGAAGGAGGATGGAGGAGGAGGAGGAGGAGGAGGGGAGGAGGAGGTTGGAGGGTGGAGGAGGAGAGGAGGAGGAGGAGGAGGAGGGGAGGAGGAGGAGGAGGGAGGAGGCGGAGGTGGAGGAGGAGGAGGAGGCGGAGGAGGAGGAGGAGGAGGAAAAAAAGAGAGGAGAGGAGGAGGAGAGGAGGAGGAGGAGGAGGAGGAGGAGGAGGGAGGAGGAGGAGGAGGAGGAGGAGAAGGAGGCGGGGAGGCAGGAGGAGGAGGAGGCAGGGAGGCGGTGAGGCAAGGAGGAGGAGGAGGAGGAGGAGGAGGAGGAGGAGGAGGAGGAGGAGGAGGAGGAGGAGGAGGAGGAGGAGAGGAGGCGGAGAGGGAGGAGGAGGAGGAGGAGGAGGAGGAGGAGGAGGAGGAGGAGGCGGAGGAGGAGTGAGAGGAGGAGGAGGAGGAGGGAGGAGTGAGGAGGAGGAGGAGGAGTTAGGAGGAGGAGGAGGAGAGGATGGAGGCGGAGGAGGAGGAGGAGGAGGAGGAGGGAGGAGGAGGAGGAAGGGAGGATGGAGGGAGGAGGAGGATGAGGAGGAGGAGGAGGAGGAGGAGGGAAGGAGGAGCGAGGAGGAAGGAGGAGGAGGAGGAGGAGGAGGAGGAGGAGGATGAGGAGGAGGAGGAGGAGGAGGAGGAGGGAGTGAGGAGGAGGAGGAGGAGGGAGGAGAGGAGGAGGAGGAGGAGGAGGAGGGAGGAGGAGCGAGGAGGAGGAGGAGGAGGAGGAGGAGGAGGAGGAGGAGAAGGAGGAAGAAGAAGAGGGAGGAGCAGAGGGAGGAGGGCGAGGAGAACAACGAGGAGAGCACGACGGGAGGGGGAGGCGGAAGCAGCACGGGCAGCTGTTCACCAACGCGCGCGGCCGGGATGCGGATGCATTCGACGCGCGCTCCCAAGGCTGACCGAGTCAGTCTCGGATGGGTCCCAGACCTCCTCGAGTCATGGAAAAATCACGACGGAAGGTTTTTCTATATTGTAGTGGCCTCCGGCCAGTGCCGCCGATCCGGGGCGCTCCGGGTGCCTGTGGAAATGAACGACGACGAGGAGACGAAAACGACGACGAAAACGAATACGTCGACGACGACGACGACAGCGACGACGACAACGACCACGACGACGACGACGACGGCGATGACGACGACGACGACGCGAGCGACGACGACGACGATGACGCGAGCGACGACGACGACGACGACGACGACGACGACGACGACGACGACGACGACGACGACGACGACGACGACGACGACGACGACGACGACGACGACGACGACGACGACGACGACGACGACGACGACGACGACGACGACGACGGGGGGGGAGCTGGGTTGCAGGGGGGGGGGTCTGCTCTGCAGGGGGGGTCCGCTCGGCAGAGGGAGGGACTGCAGGGGAGAGGGGGGGTCCGCGGCAGAAGAGGGGCTGGCTCAGGCGGGGAGGGTCGGCCCTTTCTCTTTTTTTTTGGGGGGCAGGGGGGCGGGGGGTGCAGGGGAGGGGGGGGGCGGTCCCGCCTGCAGGGGGGCGGGGCTGCACCGGGGGTGGTTCGTCTGAAGGGGGGGGGGGGGGGTGTGGTCTGCAGGGGAGGGTCCGCTCTGCAGGGGAGGGGGGGGGGGCAGGAGCGCGGGGGTCTGCTCTGCAGGGGGGCGGGGCTGCACGGGGGGGGTTTTCGCTCTGCAGGGGGGAGGGGGGGGCTGGCTGCAGGGGGGGGGAGAGGGGGTCGCATCTGAGGGGGAGGGGGGGCAGGAGGGGGGGTCTGCTTGCAGGGGGGGGGGTGGCAGGGGAGGGGGGGGGGGGTCCGCTCTGCAGGGGAGGGGGGCTGCATGGGGAGGTCCGCCTCGCAGGGGTGGGGGTCTGCTCTAGGGGAGGGGGAGGGGGGGGGGGGGATCCGCTGGCAGTGGGGGGGGGGGGGCAGGGGCGGGGGGGGGGGGGGGGCTTGAGCGAGCTCAAGCCCACGCTCTCAGAAACTCACACGCCGGATCGGCGGATTTTCGGCATGTGGGGGCTCTTACCGGCCCTCGGGACCGTCAAAAAACGACTCAGGATGAAAAGCCGGTCCCGGTGAATGGGTCCGGACCGCTGGGGGTCGCGTCATGAAAAAATCATGACGTCGGGGTTCTGGGTCGCGGGCGGGCCTTGGGCGGGTCACTAGGCGAGCCGCGGACGGGCGCCCCGAGAAGGCTATCGGTTGGACCGCGCAGTCGCCGGCGGGACCTTGGGCGGGTCCCCAGACGTTTC